GGCCGGGCGCCTGGCCCGAGGCTGCTGGTCCGCGTTCTGGGACTACGAGACGCCCAAGGTGATCGTGGTGAAGAACCGGCGCCTGGGCGTCGTGTACCGCTCGGTGCAGCTCCTCATCCTGCTCTACTTCGTGTGGTGGGTGCGGCGCGGCCGGGGGGCGTGGGGCCTCGGGGCCCCGGGAGGCGGCGGCCGGCGGGGGGAGGGTCCCGGGTCGCCTCCAGCGCGGCCCTGCCCGTCCCGCAGGTACGTGTTCATCGTGCAGAAGAGCTACCAGGACAGCGAGACGGGCCCCGAGAGCTCCGTCATTACCAAGGTCAAGGGCATCACCTTCTCCGAGCGCAAAGTGTGGGACGTGGAGGAGTACGTGAAGCCCCCCGAGGTGCGCCTGCCCGCCCCGCCCGCGCACCCCGGGACGGGACCGACCACCCCCTCTCTCTGAGCCTCGGCCGACCATCCCCTCTTTCTGAGCCCAGGGAGGCAGCGTGTTCAGCATCATCACCAGGATCGAGGTCACACCCTCGCAGACCCTCGGAGCCTGCCCGGAGGTGAGGCCTGGTGGAGGGCAGAGCTGGGGCAGAGGGAGGGGCCCTGCCTGCCTGGTCAGCTTGCCCCAGAAGGCTCGGGGCCCTGACCCAGGCGGCTCCTCCCTAGAGCGTGAGGGTTAGCAACGCCTCCTGTGACACGGACGAGGACTGCGTAGCGGAACAGCTGGACATGCTGGGAAGCGGTCAGTGCGCGCCGGCTGGGGGTGGGGCGGGGCGGGGCGGGGCCCCTCGCCCCCTGAGCGTCCATCTGCCCGCAGGCCTGCGGACTGGGCGCTGCGTACCCTACTACCAAGGGTCGGCCAAGACCTGCGAGGTGTGGGGCTGGTGCCCGGTGGAAGACGGGGCGTCGGTCAGGTGCGCACGCCCAGTGACCCCACCTAGCTGGGACGCAGCTGACACCCCAGCACGACTCTATTTTGCTCCTCTCTCTCCTCACTGGCCAGGACTGGGGATGTGCTGGGGAGGGGTTCGGGGTGGGGGAGACTAAACACACCCAGTCTGTGCCTCCTCAGCCAATTTCTCGGCAAGATGGCTCCGAATTTCACCATCCTCATCAAGAACAGCATCCACTACCCTAAATTCCAGTTCTCCAAGTAAGAGCCACCAGGCTGTGGTGACCACGGGTCGGGATGGGAGCTACGTCCTGGGAATGTGGCATTTGTGGATTACAGAGCTTCTGCCCCCTCCCCACCTGATGTGGCTGGGCCCTGTCCTCAGAGGCAACATCGAGCACCGGAAGGACGGCTACCTGAAACGCTGCACATTCAATGAGGTCTCCGACCCCTACTGTCCCATTTTCAAGCTGGGCTTCATTGTGGAACAGGCAGGGGAAAACTTCACGGAGCTCGCACACACGGTGAGGCGGGCAGCCGAGGGAGTGGGCGGGCCAGCTCTCCTCCAGGTGCTGGCTCCTAGCTGCAAACGGAGGGTCTCCATTACAGCCAGCCCCCTTTGCGGTCTTGGCCAACCCTGGCCCTGTTCGGGCAAAGGAAAGAGAAACACAATCGGCCGACCGGTCTGGGCATGCATGGCTGCTGCTAAATTATTGACTCCTGGTCACACAGCTGGCCACCAGCATACCCTTGTGCTTCAGAAGCGGGCGGGGCGCTCGCCAGGCACTCCTGGCTCTCGGCCCTGAGCGGCCCGAGGTGCCCCAAGATGAGCGCCCCGTGCACAGTCTCGGGGCAGGACCCACGGCCCTTGGGGGTCCTCTGTGCGGCCTCCCTGACACCCATCCCTGTGCCCACTTCTGGGCAGGGTGGTGTCATCGGGGTCATTATCAACTGGGACTGTGACCTGGACCTGTCAGCGTCAAAGTGCAACCCCAAGTATTCTTTCCGGAGGCTTGACCCCAAGCACGTCCCAGCCTCGTCTGGCTACAACTTCAGGTACCTTGGCCTTGGGACACCTGGGTCCTCATCTGCCCTGGCTGTGGTGGCTCTAAAAGAACAGGGCAGGTGCTCCAAGGTCCAGGGGAGCTTCCCATCTTGGGTGATGGGTGGGCGCCCGCCACCGTGCTCCTCAGGGTCATGCTGTCCCAGGTTTGCCAAGTATTACAAGGTAAACGGCAGCGCCACCCGCACGCTCATCAAGGCCTATGGGATCCGCATCGACGTCATTGTGCATGGACAGGTAGGCCAGCCTGCTTTGCCCAGGGCCCAGCTGGCACGGCCTCATCTCCTCCACCCTCCCTTGAGCCCCACCTGCCCCGGACCCAACAACCATCTAAGGCAGCCTCCTCTCCCAAGGCAGGGAAGTTCAGCCTGATTCCCACCATCATTAATCTGGCCACAGCACTGACCTCCATCGGGGTGGTAAGGAAATGCATGCTGGGCATGGGGGGCTTGGGTGGGGGGGTCTCCTGGGCCCTCACGTGTCGGTCTTGCTGGCCCAGGGCTCCTTCCTGTGTGACTGGATCTTGCTGACGTTCATGAACAAAAACAAGGTGTACAGCCATAAGAAATTCGACAAGGTGTGCACACCCAGGCGCTCCTCTGGTAGCTGGCCTGTGACTCTGGCTCTTGTTTTGGGCCAGGCTCCTCCCCCACCCTGTCCCTGCTCTGCAGACCCAGGCCAGTCCCTGGCCGCCCCGCCCCCATGGCCTTGCCCTGCCTCTGCCCCTTCTGAGCAGATGGCCGACACCCCTGAGCAGACTGTGGGACCAGAGTTGTGTGCCTCCGAGCCTTCCCGGCAGGACTCCACACTCACGGACCCCCGAGGTTTGGCCCAGCTCTGAGCCCACCACATGCCTTCCATCATGCTGTGTCCAAGGCGGGCCTGATGGGGTCCTGAAGTCTGGTCCCGAGACCAAGCCACCAGCTCCCCTGGGCCCTGCCCATGCACCTCAACACGCTCTGAGAAGCTGGGAACGAAAAGACCCCCCGCGCAACCGGGCAGCGGGCGGGCACGAAGTGGGTGTCACCGGATCCTGGCTGGCCCCCCAATGTCCCCGGGGCCTGGAGGAAGGGGTAAACTCCTGCCGCCTCCTCCTCCCTAGCTGACCTCCTCACAAACTTCTCACCCCTCCCCACCCAGACCCTTTGCTTGCTTCATAGCCAAGAAGTCACATACCCAGAGTCCAATAAACCTGTGTCCAGAACCTCTGGCCTCATTTTTTGGGAGAAGCATCTTGAGGTCCTGAAGACATAGGCAGTAGAGGGTCCTCACGCATGGGAGCTGTGGGTGCCTCTGGTCTGGTCTGTCCTCTAATCAGCCTGGGTGCAGACTGCATGTTGTGTCCAAGCAGGGGGACAGGGGGGTAGGCAGAGACTGGGTGCATGAGGAACCCAGCACCTGCCCTTCAGTCAGCTTGCTTACCAACCTCCTGGGGTGGGGAGGGGTGATCCCAGACCCACCCTCAAAACATGTGCAAGGATGGGGACTCTGGAGGAAGGAAGACAAGGGGTAGGTGAGGGAACTTGAAACAAGGACCCAGGTGGGGCAAGAAGTTGGTGCTGGGGGAGGGGGATGGTCATGGTGAGGTTGAGGGGGAGCACAAGCCAGCAGATAACTAGTTACCACACCCTCAGATGCCACAATGGTCATTATATTCAGTGGCGCTGCCTGGTGCCTGTCTGGCCAGGCCCCCCTCCCCCAGGGGCCGCCAGAACTTGGCTGGGTGGCGGTTCCCCTAGCAACACGGATGGTGAGCACACAGGTCTATGGCAGCACATGCTGTGCTTTGCACAGACTCCCTCACCCAGGATCCCTCTTCCGAGGTTGAGCGATAGCTCAGGGGGTCCCCATGTCCAAATCATGCTGGCAGGTGGCCAGAGCTGGCCATCTCACCTGCCCACACCCAACAGGGGGGCCAGCAACAGCACACACTTGAGAAGCCCCCCCCCCCCCCCGGCCACCTTGAGGTGAGGATTCCTCAGTCACCCAAATGCCTCCAATACCCTGTGTCTGGCTCCCTGATGTCCAGTTTTGGAGAAACTGGCTTTTCCAGTTGGGCCTGGGCTGCAGCTCAAGAACCATGGCCAGGGGTTCAGGTTTCCCATTCCCAAGCACGAGAGTGACCCCAGGACCCTTTGCTGTCCCAAATGCTCCAATCCCTAAGCTGGCCTCTGAGGGACCCACCCGTCACCCTCTGGCCCTGTTGTAAGGACAGGGAGTGGTATGCAGGCCCCCAGCCCCTCCCCTCTCCTCTCTGGGGACATCTCTGCTCTCTGCTGCACTTCCAGGAAGCCTAGTTAGCTCCCCTCCCCATCCCAGCCCTAATTTGATTTGATCTCCATCTGGGGGCTGATGCAGGCTCTGTCCACTTTCCAGCCAGTGTCAGGTTTCTTGTGGCCACAGGGCCTGGGCACACCCGGAGCACAGGACCCAGGAGCCAATGCACCCAGTTGCAACAGAGGTCAGTCTTCTTTCTGTCCTCGCACAAACACATGTAAAAATTTTCAGGAATGCAAAATCCAAAGAGTAAAACTGAAGTTAAAGTGTAAAATACTAGGAGATACTTGGAGAAGTCAGGCAGCAATGATGAACTCGAGCCGGGCCCCAGAGCGGACGCTGGCCCACGGCTTCCGTACGGCCTCCCTGGAGGCTGCCCATTTGGGGTCTGAGTTTATGATTCAGTTAGCCTGTGTGTTGCCTTGCCAACCTGGCCATTCTTCTTTTTCCACTTCCAGTCTCATTTAGTTAAAAATGAAGCGTGAGGCGCCTGGTGGCTCGACTCTTGATTTTGGCTCAGGTCATGATTCCAGGGTTGTGGGGTCGAGTTCCGTCAGCGGGGAGCATGGAGCCTGCTTAAAATTCTTTCATCCTCTACCCCTCCCCCACCCCGCTCATGCTTCCTCTCTAAAATAAAGAAATAAAACCTAACTACTAAAATGAAGTGTGGAGTTGGGTCTTTTGTGCTGGGGCAGGTGACGACAGAGGGACCAGCTCAGCAAACTCTTCCTGAGGTCACTGGGACGCAGACTCCCCTGTCTGGGCCTCCCCCCCTTTTCCAGCCCCACCACAGGGTCAGCAAAGAGTGAGGTCCCACATCTCCGCGCTGCACCGGCTCTCTGAAGAAACTGGTGGCAAGTGTCCAGGTTTAAAGGGGCCATGGTCCCGACTGACCCTCTCTGCAGGTGAGGGCCGCTGACCCTGGGCGTGCACGCCCCGAGTGGCCCCTGGAGGACGGGCAGGCCCGCAAGGGTCGGAGGTCTTGGACTCTGAAGCTAAAAAGCCAGAGCAGATCCGCTAGAAGCCCAACAAAACTGCTGCTGCCGTTTTATTCCCGTCTCTTCCCCCGACCAGATCCCTCAAAGCGGAAGGAAAAAACCGACTGTCTTGCATGTGAAGGATTTCCCTATAAACCCAAGTGCTAACAGATAACGTTAAAGCCTGTGACAAACACGTGCATCCTCCCACCCATGCGCGGCAGTCTGAGCCCGGTGCTCGTGTCTGTCCCCACCTGCAGGTTCAGAGGGCAAGGGTGCCACACCCCCGATTCCAGATCTTGCTGCTGCAGACAAGGTGACTGCCATGATGCAGGCCCCACCCCTGCAGACCCTACACTGACCAGGAAGTCTCCAGACAAGAAGCCTAAGTCCTGGGAACTCATCGTGGGAAAGATGTCCAGGTCCCCTCAGGGTTTGGCTCCGGATTCCCTGAACAAGCCCACATCCTGCTGGCATCCAGCTATGAGACCGTCTCCGTGGTCACAAGTGATGAGAAGCAAGGGCTGCAAACCCCACTAGTCATCACCAGACAGAAGACCCCCTCAACAGCAGAGGAGAGAGTGACAGAGCGGGACCGCAGGGAGGGCTGTCCACTCAGCAGGAACCGCCCTGGAGACCCCTCTCAGGCCAACAGTGGGCTGCCCTGACCACAGCTGGCGGCCTAGGCAGCCCCAGGTGGAGCCACTTCCTGCTCTGGCTGGCTCGTGCTTCTCTATGTGACCTGCTCCTTTTCCTCGGTGCTCCGTCCTGGCCAGGGTCACAAGTCTGGAAGTCAGGGCAGGGAATGGGGTCGCTGCTCGACTCGCTAATGGCCCAGCTGAAGGTTCTTCTGCAGCAGCCACTCCAGGGTCTCCATGAGGTACGACATGCCATAGTGCTGGGCGATGTTCTGGAAGATTCTAATCTGGTCCATGAAGACCTGCAGAAATGACCAGAGGAGGCACAGGGATGCAAGGCACAGGCTCGGGCGTGTAGGGAGAGAGGCAGATGGCAGAGACCAGAAAGGGCAAACGGGAGAGGGGGGGGCAGCCAGGCCAGCCGTGGGACCCCCACCTTGGTGCGGATGGTGAGGGCGAAGTCCCCGGCACAGCTGCAGTACACAGGCATGTTGGTCTCCTTCACACCCCGGCACTTGAGGCAGATCTGCAAGGAGGAGCAGCCCCGGTCACCAGTGTCCCCTTCTGGGCCTGTGATGGCCAGTGGTAGCCAAGAGCTCGGCATGCCCACCCACCCCATGGCCTTCAACTCAACCAGGAAAGACCAATACTTTGTAACGGGATTTATCCAAACATGCCAGCTGCTTCCTAACACCTTCCCGGGGGGGCGGGCGGCACTGCACCCTTGCCTCTGAGTCCCAGGGACCTCACCCCTGTGCCTTCCTTGGGTCTCCCTATTCCATCAGAGCAGATGTGGGCTGTTCCCTGCCCGGGCCCCGACACCCCTTCACATCCTCTCGTCAAGAACACCCCTCTATCTAATGCTGACAACGTCCCTGCTTCTCTCTCTCTTCCGTTTGTTGTCTTTACACTTGCCATGACTCTCACACTCCATCCTGCTCACCAGCTACCCTCTTCCATTACAACAAAAGGTGCATGGAGCCAGCACCCGCCCCTGCAGGGGCCCCAGAGATGTGTGACAAGGAGTCAAGAGGAGCCCCGATCCAAGGGCTGGCCACCTCAGAGCACTGAGTCGGGACTTGAGAACTGTGCACACCTGTGGCTTCTCGGGGTGCAAATCGCTCATCAGGAAGCCCTCTGCCCGCTGGAGAGGGGGCTGGGGTGGAGTCCCCCACGCCAGGCCTGCCACTCACCAGGTCCTGCAGAGTGAAGGCCATCAGTTTCTTCTGCACGGCTTCCACCAGGGCCATCTCGATGACTGATGAGTCATAGGCAACCAGGCAGTTGGAGCAGAGCCACTGAGGCAGCACAGCCCCGTCCTAGGCAGGGGAGGAGGGGGCCGGGTCAGCGGTCCGCCCAGCCTTCCTCAGCAGCCAGGGCTTCCCAGGGGCTGGGCAGGGACCGTGCAGAGCCAGCTGGGGAGCCGGGCGGAGGGGGCTGCCGGCCCGCACGCACCACCGTCACCGCCACCGTCTATCAGGACACTGCACCGGCACACAGGAAAGGTGTCTGAGAGCCTCCCGGCCCCGCCCACCTGAGAGAAGGAGGGCTCTTTGCACAGGTCCAGGTCCCGGCAGAAGTTACAGCTGCGGCAGATGACCTCAGGGAGCACGTAGGAACGGCAGGGGTCTCGGAACTGGGCCTCCTCTGAGAACTCGCCAACGTCCACCAGGCGCAGCAGGTCCCGGTTCAGCTTGTTCACCTGGTTCGTGATGTTCGTGTCCAGAGACAGAACCTACAAAGAACAGAGCATCAGTGATGGCCTCGCGGGCCGGTCTCTATCGGGAGCGGAAAAGCCTGCAGCGGACTCTTCAGGCTGCAGCTTCTCAGCACCGCGCCCTCCTTCTCCCGCTGGAAGTGAGGGGGGCTTCCTCAGTGCGGCCCTGCGAGCAGGTTTCCGTCAGCTCCGGGGGACGGGGGCACTACGTGCGCTTCCTGTCGTCCTTCCTGGCTCCCTCCTCCTCAAGGACAGGAAGTCCTAAATCTGCGGGGCCGCACGGTCTCGTCGGCAGAGTGCGTGCTCTCAGCCCCGACAGTGGGGGTTCCCGTGCCAGCCCGGAGCCCGCTGGGAAGCCTGGCTCTCGTGGTGGTGCCTGCAGAACCACAGGTGAGGTGTCTCTTCCTTTTGTCCATAATGGAGAGGACAGGACAGGACAGACCTCTTTAGAGGTCCCTCCCACCCCTAAAACTCTACTGTCCCAGCTCAACACCAAGAACACCACAGAACCAAAGCCCTCTTAGAAGACATTTTTGGGAGAACTATTTATGGTCAGATTCGAAGCCCGCCACCCCATTCAGTGAGACAAGTAGAT